ATTTTTACAAGGTTCGCCATTTTTTATGTCACGTGATAATTATGTAAACAATGACTGTCCAGTTTGTGCGAACTTGTACCTCTATACTTAGTCTTTTGATATATATAACCTAAATTACTGTTCTGAACGAGACAACAGACAGAGAATGTTTTATTTAAAAACGTCACAAAACCCTTCTCGCTACCTTAAAAAGTAATGTGAATATTTGTTTGTTTACACTAAATTCGAACTGTGGTACTATTTAATGAAATAAAGAACTACGCATGCACTTGTAATAAAAAGTACGCAAATAGTACACACCTGTAATTCAAAACGCATGCGCATTTTTTCTTGGTGACCAAACGTTGTTTTCAGGTTATGATACATTATACTTTGTTGCATATATCACCTTTCACGAGGCCCCTCGGTATGTCGAGGTTTTTGCTTGGATCCCGACACCCGCGACTTAGTGAGGGACCACTGTATAATGATATATATACTATGAAACACTCAAGAAAAGGCATACATATTGTCTAAGTTAGATGTTGGATTTCTCAAGCAGTTTAAAGAATATCGTATGTAAATAAATGTAAATGTATCACATGTTCAAAGATGTTTTGTAAGTATGTAGCTTTATTTATTTGTTAGCGAAACCAGCTATTTAAATGATACTGGTCACGTAATTGTGGCCTCGTGATACAACGAATAGCGCCCCCTATGGTGTCAGAAACAAACACTATTGTTATCACTCGAGCTCCGAGAATCCTCGCGAATCGTCGGTTGGATTCAGACCGACAGGTACGACAGGTACTTACAATCGGTCGTTCACTGTGTGAAAAGACTGTGACGTCCCCATGTTTCCAAAATGTGTTGTTGTTTTTTAAATTACAAGTTATCTTATAAAATATTATTTTGTTTGTTGTCTAAGTTACGTAAGGACACCCGAGGCTCCTTCCGTTCAGTTTTCCCTATTATTAGTTTTAGCCCAAAAACAATTGACGCCGAACACAGCAAATATAAAGTGACCAGCCCACTGAACCACGTTTGGTAGGACAACCGTCGGAGGTGGCTCACGAATTTATAAAACCGTTTTTTACAATTCATGTATACACTAGCAGTAAGTTATAGCCGTAGTTCTGCTGTTTTTTGGTGCCGGAAAGGGTATTGTCGGTAAACAAGGCAGCGTCGTTGGTGTACCAGCCTGAACCACAAATGCATTCGATGCCAAAGTGTAAGCCGACCGATGAAGCAAAGAACACTTTATGGACCCCAAATCGCCGCGGAACCACGGCTAAATAAGTTACACTCTGAGGAATAACTTACGTAAAAAAGCCTTTACCATAACAAACATTACTAGTGGAAATAAAAAAAAAATATCAGGGTCAAGTAGAAATGATGTTTAAAACACAAATCGAATATTGAATCGAAATGAGGATCTTAGTAAAAACATAGACCCTCAAAAATTGTTGGGGTCTATTATAAAAACAATTAAAAACGGTTAAAGTTAATGCGATAGGCGGGAAACAACAGTGATTTGTCAGTAAATTCTGATGGAAAATTTGCTTCAACGTGAAAAATACATATATACCTATAGTCCAAATGTCAACAAAAACGAAAATGGATTTTAAAAATGAAGACGGATTTTAAAAACGAAATAGATTACAAACTAAAAATGAATTGTAAAATGGTTTTATACAATGCCATGCTCAAGTTTGTGAGCCACCTCAGTTGCCGTACTCAAGTTTCCCGACAAAACCTGGCAAGGAGGCGCTGTATTTTTTTCATGCATATTTTCCATATACGGCGTCATTTTGATAATACAGCCTATTTGTTGCGTAAGAATGTTGAACGACAACGCTGGCATGGTGGGGCTCAGATGAACTCCTGCCGTTACATAATGCTCCGTGATGGCACTATTGTATTGTAGGGATTCGAGAAAATACGGAATGTCGAGCTTCAGTAGATATGCCACTTAGTTGTAGCATCGGCGCCAATCCATAGTAGTTAATTGAATGATCATGAAATGACTTGATTTACAGTGTCTAGTCGGCGTGTTTCGGTTTGCTGTCACGTGATCGGATGGAACTCATCAGAAGAGGTGTCGACCATGACAAACTGTCAACTTTCTCGGAAAGACGAACTAAGTCAGGCTGGTTCACACATAATTATATGGGTGAGAGGTACTAAGGAACTCTTACCTTTTAAACATACAGGCATATCATGTTTCTCTTACGAAGATGCTCAACGCTCGCTATTCGCAGATACAAATTTATAGGATAACAAACTTAATTTCTTAAGTTTTTCGGCACCCCCTAAAACGTTCAGACAATAATACTGGTCATCAGCATACATTTTATTTTTTCAGAAATTATACAGCACCTTGTTTTTTATCATAATAAACACATCCCATGATTGGGTTACCATTTAGTCTATCAACTATTAACCAACGTTTAGAAACAACTTGATATTAAAGGGTGGCAGTCGTCGTGCGTAGACAACGCGTG